TATCACTGTTGATCAAGGTTGATAGCCGAATATGTGTACATTGATCTTCATAATCAAGATCCCACATAAAAAAGTTTTAATAAAATTAATAATTAATCATTTGTTCATATAAAGCTACGTCGTCTAGTAAAGAAAGAAACATGTAAAATAAATATGAGGGTAAAATGTAATAAAATTGGGATGCAAGAATAGTTTATTGAATTAAAGAAGGATGTTCAAACACAAGTCTTATTCAAAATACATGGGTACGCTAAGTTTTAGAAGTTAAAAGCCATCTGAGAGAAATATCCACAGTAAAAGCTGTTACCAAGCCAGTATCACTGACTTGAAATCATCTTTTTACCTACTTGAAAGCAGGCTTTATTCAGGTTAATAATTTACTACAGAAAACAAGAAACAGGTTGAATATTCTTGAACAATAAGATTTAAGAATTAAGGTAAGCAATTTTATGCCAAATATAAAATTAAATAGCATTAATATATCAAGTGCAGCCATAACATTCATTAAAATCGAACCTTTGTGCAATTAATATCTGCGATTTTGTATCTAAAAACTTTTTATATTTGTAAAATTATAAATAATAATAATGCAAAAAACAATAAAACATAAATTTAATAAGCCATTATTTCCAAAACCGTTAACCTTGTTCTTAGTGTTATTGCTATTTGTAAGTTATTTATGCACAATTACTCATATAGTGATTATATTATATGATGTATGTTATAGAGAAAACTGTAAGGGGAGTCGACGAAGAAAGCCATTCTTTTTAAGGGGTTGATGGAAGAAAACATTTGGGAAACCCTGCGCTAGGTTGTTCTAATTCAATACTTATGGTAAATTATATCGAAATTCGATATATAATTGAAATTAAATCAATTAATTTATTACTTCAATTTAAATCAATAAAGTAATTACTTCAAATAAGAAGAATGCGGGTTTACATTATTTAAAATCTAATTACATAATTTATTATTAATATCTTTATATGATATCAACACTTTAAACCATAAAATTGCAAAAAAATATAATTTAGGGAAGAAGCTTTGAGGCTAGTTGGAGCTTGGTTTTTCCCTTCGTTATTTCTTTAAATATTTTCATTTTTCAAGACTAAAAATTAAATCATATGACTAGTTTTTACATAATAGTACTAATTTTAATAAACAACTCATATTGCCATAACTACATATATCAAATGCAATGTATAATATGCATAATATATATGGCATACAATAAACGAGCACTACTGTGTTTTCTGAAATTTCTAATTAATCCATTTACTGAACACGGTGATGTGAATATTCTTTCAACTTTAATGGTACTACATCTTCAATACGCTGTGTTCGGAAAGAATCTCAGTTTTAAAAATTAAACTGGGTTTATTAATTATATGTCAAATAAAATTTATTTGCCATTTCTTAAATGCTGTATACATCCCTCCTAAAAAGTGTCCGGACATTTAAAATTTCCGTAAATAAGTTAAAACATTTCAGCCGTATAAAATATGTAACTGTACCATGTGATTTTCATCGAAATGTGCATTTATCTAATCTTCCTTTATGTTAATTCTTTTCAGAAAATTAAAATTAATATCTTCTTATCAAAACTAGAAAATCATGCCACAAAAGTCTTTGGACACTATTACTATTAAAGTACCAGACAAAATAATCCGTACTAAATACAATATGCATGGTCATAATTTACTGCTGTGATCTCAAACTGAAACTGTATGCGGGCGACTTGAGAGCTGACGACGGGCCACAATTGTTTTATACAAAATGAAAATTAATTTCAAATGACTAGCTAAATTTTGATTAAATTATAACTTAATTTCAAATTTTACTCACTGAATAGTAATTAAAATATACATAAATAACTATAGAAATAACGTAGAGGAAAAAATTCAAATTTACAATATTTATTTTCTATTTGTGAGAAATTTCCGTAGGTTACACTTTGTAATTCAAACGTACTAACAGCTAAATATTAAATTTTCGGTCTGACATTCATTTTAAATAATTCTAATACTTTGAATTAACTACTAAATAACTTACTTTCGAAAATGAACTGAAAGTAAACAAACTAAGAATTATTTCCAAATTTTCAGCCAAAACTTTCCAAGTGGGACAAAATTTGAGAATAAATGATGACAATCTATTTGCATTCCACATCTCTAATGTCTATAATATTGTTTATATCTACTATATTCCGAATTTTCGTTTCTTGATATGCAATGATGAATATCGCTTTTTTTTTTTCTTAACTTCTTTTGAGCGCCTGTCAAAGTGCTTTTACATGTGTTGGGTGAGTATTTTTGCTGTGCACAAAAGCTGTTTTTAGTCCAAAGGGATTTGAACCCCGAAGGACTATTTAGTTTCGTTTTGGCATTTTGCGTCGGACGGATAAATGTCGGTTCACTTTTCAAACTGTTGCCATAAAATGTTAAAGTCCTGCATTATATTTTAAGAAATTAAATAATGAAAATCTGCGTAAATGTATGTATATTTCTCACATTGTCATAAAATAACGGTACATAGAGTCATCGAATTTTGAATAACGTAATCCTCCAACGAATATGAGCATGTGGAAGACCAAATTTGAAATTTGAAATTTGTTTTATGATCGATTTCCTATTTTTTAAAAAACTTTGACGAATTTTTGATAAACAAACTCAAGGATTTCAAAAGCGAGCAATGGCAACGTTGTGCAGAAAAAACATTTTTATCTCCAGCGCGTGAGTCTCTGTATCGGAAACTCTAAAGATATGCTCGTTTTAAAACTATTTTGCGATATTGCCGTTGCACTGGATCTTATGGTTTAAGTGCGAGGAACATGATATTTAATAAAGAAAGGTAACACACAAAATGTTAAAAAACGCCCCTTTGGACGTAATTTAAAATCTGAAACATTTCAGATTTTTTTAAATTTTTTTTTCCAAGAATTTGTCTCTGCCCAACCCTTTTTCTTCAAAGCTTCTTCAAAACAGCATATGTAGTTAAATTCATAAATTTTTCTTAACATACAACTAGGAAAAACGAAATCCATTGGAAAAATTATTCAAATGGTTAATTTAAAACATTTATCAGTTTGCGATACCGTAAAATTATGTTGAAAGCAACACATAATTCAAAATGAAAGCATTCTAGCATTCTTAGGAGACCATCACAAATATGCGTGGAATATAATGTAATAATGTAAAAAGTAATTAAAATAATCGAAGACTGAATGTACCTATACTTTAAAGACTTTAAAGAGAACTTGGGTATGGGTGCTCTGACCAAGTGGGAATTTAAAAATTCTGAGCTTGGTAAACCAAAATATAACTTCACCTTCTTTTTCCCTATGTCTATGAGTAGATATTTTGAACAATGGGATAAGATTTAGAAATAATAAAACGATTAATTCACATTTTCGAAAATTAGTTATAATAAAAAAATAGAAAAAATTTATATATTTATTTGCTAGAAGAATAAATGACTGATGATTTTTTATGACATTTAGACATTTTGCAACATTCTGCTCATTAGGGAAGACATTAATTTTTAAGTTCAATTATTTTATTTCTTGGAAAAGAATTTAATGTAAGAACACCAGGTAAACGTATACATTAAATAAAAATGCAATTTATAGTTTTAGTTTAATGCATTTAAACTTTTGGAAATCAAGTGTCCAGTCAGTGCGAGTCAAAAGTGTCCGTGAAACACTATATGTTTCATAAAAACGTTAAAAAATTCATAACACTGGTTCTATTTACGTTTCAAATGAATTACTTTGAACTTTCCGTAACATCACAAATGTGATAAATTACTAATTTGTAATAAAATTATCATTATCTTATTTTTTTTACTGCGATATTGTTATGTTAATATAACATAACATAAAATCATTAAAACAGTCTCATTAATCTTAACAGCCATAATATGTAAGTATAAAGATAAATTCTTTTAAACGTACAGATTTCTATCTCTTAAATGATAAGGACTGGAATACTTAGAAGTCAAAATATTTCATTAGCTTATATTAAAAGAAGAAATTTTAAATTTTACATCAAGTAGAAAAGATCAAAGTAGTACATCAAGTAAAGTTTACATCAAGTAGAAAGTATTTAATGATCTTTGATTTTAATTAAAATTACGGTCTACACTTTTTGTACATACTCACATAAATTTTGTGGCATTTTTTTGTTTCATATACATGTTGTTAAGAAACCGTAGAATTATAAATGAAAACGCATGACAATAAATAATTAAAAAAACGGGTAATAAAATTTTAAAAAATTGTGCATATATTTTTAATCACACAAGGCTTGATTTTTTTATCATACATTGTTTAGATTTCGTATGCAAATCTCTTCAAGTCTCATTAAATATGCTTTTGGGTTACTGAAATTCAAATTAAATATGAACTGTCAATTTTAAATGCTTATACTTGTAATTTTCATTCACCTTACTGTTTATATTCAGACTTTTATTCAGACTTTCCCTCCAACCGCCCCCCTTAAAAAAAAAAAAAAAAAAAAAAAAAAAAAAAAAGAAGAAGAAGAAGAAGAAGAAATGACAGAAGAGTTAATGAAACTGAAAGCTTAAAATAAAATCTGAGATATAATTTTGCTTTTCAAACGCATACTTTTGTTTAGTATGTGTGACAGCAATGTTTTATATCTTCTTACTTGTTTAATTTACTACAGAGAAACAATCAAGTTATCATTTCTTTTAAGATTATTAAAGAACAACTCTGCAACACTTTTTCTTTTGTACACATGCCAGCATCTGAAGTGTCCGATATTAGTTGGTTTATTTGATGAATAGAAGAGAAATACTTTTTATTAAGTTGCCAATGAAGAAAAAAATAGAATAACTGAAGAATATTAAATTATGTTTACTTTTAAAGAGTACTGCATAAGATTTGAAATATTTGGGTTTATATAAAAATACCATGCACTTCACAATTGCCATTTTTTAAAATAGCATTTAATAACGCGTAAAATTATATATCACCATACCTATCTTTAGCCTCCGCCGCTCGATCTCTCTGCCGCCGATTTTTAAACCAGTTGCTGACCTGCGTGGTCGTCAGTCCCGTTGCGTCTGCCAAGTCCCGTTTTTCCCGGGGTGAAGGATAAGGGTTGTGGTGATACCATTCTCGTAGAATATTCCTTGATTTTTCCTTGAAACAATAGCTAGTTTCTTCTCCGTCCCAAATAGTCCTGGGTAGAGGAAACTTTCTCCTAATACGATACTTGCCTACAGCGCCCAGGGGTCGGCCCCTCAGTCTCTCTGCTTCAATGTAGTGGGCCTTCAACCATAGACTCTGTAATTTTGGGTGAGAATTAGGGGTAAAAGAATGACTCTCTAGAATCCTATACAATTCTTTGAAATTCCCTCTATGAAAGGCAACCAGCGCCTTGGCTTTTAAAACGCTCTCATTCTTCTGCAGCTGCTCACAAGCCGGCAAAGACCATAAAAATCTGCCCAGTCGTTCGATGTTGCCGGATTGCTGCAATACTTCGCATACACACGCTACTTGCTCTTGAGTGAAACCAAAAGATGGTAAATTATTATTATTGCTGTTGGGAGACCCCGCGTTATCGGACATGTTGGCCCCGGCGATCATGGGGGCTTCTTGCAAGTTGCCCGTTAATGCTGCCAACAAATTTCTCCGAAAAGGCGTTTAAGTATAGCTCCGTAAGTTTAAAGAGTTTTTTTAGAGCTGTTATCCATGCTGTGTGAGGAGAAACGCCGTTGTGAAGAGTAAAAGCATCTAACCCCGCGACGTGATTTTTGGGGGAGGTTGCCGAGGCCGACGTACTGCACTTGGCGCATGGTGTTATGTCGCCAAACCCGCCAATTCTTCCGTCTAAGAAGAGATCAGAGAGGATGGCTGAACAGAAGTAGAGATGATTGCATAACACACAACAGTTATATTTTTGCAGTCTCATATTATTGTTCATACAAATCGATAATATAAGTATTATTTACAAGAATTTTCTTGTAAATAATAATAAATTATTAAAATTTAATAAAATGCATAAATTAAATTAATCATGAGGAGTTAAATAATAAATTAAAATACTAGAAATCTTCTCTTTTGGGAGCTTCCATTAGAATTTTAGATTTCATACAGGGCTCCGGCTGAACTTAGCACTGCAGCCACCAGGAACTTAAGCACCCAGGCTTCTTTGCGTGAAAAAAAAGAGGGAGGAAAATTGTTAATTTTTTATTTACGTTACTTTCGATTTCACCTTACTTTCTATAATATTATTTTCGAATGCATTTTGCCCTTTATATTTACATAAATTTCAAAATAGCTCTTTTAATTTGTTTTCAATTAAATCCCGCAGAGAAAATGATATATATCAAAAATTTAAAAATAGGGGTAGGGAAAGTTAAATTTTTGCTTTAATGTAAATTTCATTCTAAAATTATTAAACTAATTTTCCATAGGCGAAGCCACAAAACGTACGATGAAAATCAACCTAAGGCAGAATTTAAAAATATAAAAGTAAATTATTTACAAAAGCATAAAACTTATGAAAACAGGGAAGTAATTCCTCCCCCCCCCCGAATAAACAAAAAGACCTTGTGCTATTCGTAGGATATGGTGAAGTTTTAAATCTTATTTGCAGACGTTTAAAAATTCATCGAAAGTTTTCAACCCGAGAAATCTTCTTTTGGAATATTTTGCTGGTAAGCTCGCAGATTTCTTTATAAAATGGCAAAAATTCACTTGTTTTGTAGTTTGTTTTGATATAGTTTACTGAAATCTTTGATGATGGTTTTCAAAAGTTTATTCATTTTTAAGAGAACTTTTCTAGGGGAGCTGAATGTAAGTCTTTGAAAGTGACGTTCGGGATAGAGCTTTAATAATTCACTATTATTGCGTCCCATAGACTGAAGTGACTGTTTAGCTATGTAAAATATGTACTTATTTCAAAGAAAAAAAGGCAATGAAAATGCTTATTAAAAAAATCAAGATTATTATTTTCCGAACATATTTATATATTTATTTTGTCAGTATTGCCATTTTTACTTTTCGGACATATATTATTAACACATAACTAACATAGTATTACATATATGATTAATATTACTTTTACCCTTTCGGTTATTCAGGTCTTCTGTTAAGCGAGGCTTGCATAACTTGGGTTTAATTTGCGTATTCAATATTATCTGTTTATAGTTACCCATTTTTGCTTAATTACTAAAGTATGTCAAAGGAATAGAGTTAATTTTAAGCACTTAATATTGTTTAAAGCACCGGCAACTCGTAACGTTATTTACATAAATTTAAAATGTGAAATATTTCTAATTTAATGATTTTTTATATATCATAAATTATATTTCTAAATTAATGAAAGCGCGCGAGAATATTAATAATGTATTTTTAGGATTTGAAAATTTAAATAACCGAGCGGTAAAGTCGCTGAACACTTGGTAGTAGGACAAATACCCAAATAATACTGGAGCTCGCTGCTTAAAATCTTTATTTGGTGATTGATCTCAGAATACCTAAACCAGTGTTTCCCAACGTGGGGCCAACGCCCCCAGGGGGGGGGCAATTCGAAAATGAACTAGTCCAGAGTTTAAGGGGACATTCAAATTTCAAAATTTTCTTAAAGAAGTCGAAATTTTATTTTTTATTCCCCAAAATAAAGAACAGTGTAAGTGATGTATACGTAAAAATGTTTTTAAACTGCGATATATTTTAAATATTTTATAAAGAATTTCACTGCAGACATGGGCATTTAAATGCCTTTAAAGGGCATTTATACACTGAATACCAATAAGTATTTGGACACCTAGGCAAATGACGATATCTGCGGTCCTAATGTACGTCACAGACTCTGCCGGTATATATCGTGTAGGAAACAGCACCGGCTTTAGTCGCATGCAAGATGTCTCGCAGTTCGGAGCTCTCTGATTTCGAGAAAGGTATAATTATCGTGTATCACAAATGTGGCCGATCCTTAAGGGACATATCTAGCGATCTGAAGTAGCCAAAATCGACAGTGGCCTATGTGATTAAGAACTGGAAGGTGAGCGGTGATTGTCGGAATGTGCCCCGAGTCGGCAGACCAACGAAACTGGGAGATAGAGACCGACGAGTGGTGTCCAGAGAAATTCGGAAGAACCTCACCCAACCGATGGCCCTCATCCGCGAGGAGTTTCAACAGGCATCTGGGAGTATTGTTTCAATGAATACCATCCGTAGGGAAGCACATCTGCTTGGTTTTCATGGTCGTGCTGCTGGCCATAAGCCTTTGATCACAAAGTCCAACCGTGCTGCTCTGTTAATGTGGTGCAAAGCACATCAAAATTGGACCGTAGGTCAATGGAAACGGGTTCTTTGGAGTGACGAATCAAGGTTCACCCTTTACTGTTCGGATGGCAGGGTCTGGGTCTGGCGTCTACCTGAAGAACGTCTCTTGCCAGAATGCATTGTGCCAACAGTCAAGTTCGGCGGAGGTGGAATTATCGTCTGGGGGTGTATCTCCTGGTATGGGCTGGGACCCTTGGTCCCCATTCATGGTAAGCTCAACTCCGATGCCTACTGCACTAGTTTAGATGGCAATATGCTTCCTACGTTGTGGCAGTTTTACGGGTTGGACCCCTGTTACTTTCAGGACGACATTGCCAGTTGTCATGTTTCGACGTTAACCAAAGCTTGGTATGGTGCCAATGAAGTTCATCGAATGGACTGGCCTGCCCAGAGTCCAGACCTGAACCCTATCGAGAACCTCTGGGACGAGTTGCATCGCCGAATTCAGGGGTGCACTACCCCTGCAAAATCGGTGAAGGAACTTCTCTGTCTTCTCCGAGTGGAAGAAAATACCACTAGCTGTCATACAAAGACTTGTGGAAAGTATGCTCCGGAGTGTCCACGCTGTAATTACCTCTCGTAGAGGCTCTACCAATTATTGATTTTGAATAAAGTTAGTTTTTCTTTTCTATCACAGGTGTCCAAATACTTATTGGTAGTCAGTGTATAGCTGACACATTATACTTTCCAGATGTTTTTTGTACATGTCGGCCAACTATTTCATTTTATTTTTTACTTGTAGGAACGGCAAAAAGTGTATTTTTCTTCCCTTAAATGGCAAGAGCAGTTGCTTTCAGCTTCGTTTATATTTAGAGGAGTGAGGAAATTTTTAATTGACCTTATATATATATTTCTTTCAGCCCTAGTGAAATGAGTGGTGCAAGCAACAAAAAGGTTCGTCAGTATTCGGGGGAATATTTAAAATTTGGCTGTACATGATGAACGGTCACCTTTTTTAGTCTTTTATGCCAACAATGCTCGACTAACGAATCAAAGAAACGAAGTCGTCTTGAGGCACATTTGAAGGCGAAATTTAATGCTCATATTAATTCAGATTTGGATTATTTTCAAACTTTAAAGAAAGATTTTGAATAAAGAGTAATATCAAAGTCCCCAATTATTGCTCCAAATGCAACTGTTAATCGTACTCTTGAGGTTAGTTATCAAATTTCATTACTCATCGCTAAATCTGGGGAAAGTCATATACTATACGGGAGAATTTAATCAAACCATCACTATCAGCATTTCTTAAAATAGTTCTACAAAAAGATGACAAAGACTTTAAAGCTATGCCATTAAGTAACAATCCTGTTAGCAGAAGAGTAGATGAAATGAATGAGGATATTGAAATAAAACTTGTTGAAAATCTGAAAACAAGAAAATTTTTGGTGCAAACGGATGAATCAACTCTGAGACACAGTGAGGCCGTACTTAACTTACGCAAGTAAGTTACGTAAGATATATTGATAAAGGTGATTTTTTCGAAGAAATGTTGTTATGTAAAATCATTAGCAAGTACCGCTACAAGATAAAACATTACTTAGCTGTCAAAAATATACCAATGAAAAATATCACAGCTTGTGTTGCAGCTGTTAATATGATGAAGAAAAAATAGATGAAAGATGAGAATCCAGAAATGCTTCATATGTATTATCTTAGGAAAAACCTGGTAGCTAAAAACATTTCGCCTGTTCTAAATGAAGTACTAAATTCAGTTATAAAGTGTATTAATGCTATTAGTTATTTTGTGAAGAGTAAAATGAAGACTAAATAAGACTGATACTTCACACTGAAGTAAGACGGCTGTCGAATAGAAACTGCTTGAAAAGATTTATGGAACTATTTGATATTTTGGTTTTTTTTTTAAGCAACAAACCTGAAATGAAAAATCTGTTAACAGTGTATCCTAGGGCATTTGTGAGTTATTTAGCCGATATCTTTGAAAAACTAAATTTCCGATCATTCAAGAGACCAATTTTGACAAAAAAACGGCAATTTTCTTTAATTCGTTCGTTGAATAGACTATTTATATAACTTTCCAAAACAGATCTTCTTTTGTTTCTACGCTAATTAAAAACAGAGATATTAAGGATTTCATAAGGCCGCGAAAACTGGCGTTTAAATCACCAAAAGTCCGCATTCAAAGAGTAGAAAAGAGCCAGAAATAGACTTAAACTATTTTTCCCCTTGAAAATATAATTTAATAGGAGAACTTTAAGGAGAGGGAATTAAAAGAATATTTGTAATCTGTGCTTCAGCATAAAATTATTTCAAATAAAAACGCAATATTTTTATTATTTACATATTGAAAGCTAGCATATAAGTTTGAATTTGATTCGAAACATTACATATTGCGATTAAATTTATCTTATTCTTTGATTTTTTTTAATCTCGAAAAATTCGAAGCCTTGTTTGTAACTCGAAAAATCGC